TAGAATTTTGTTCATTTCATCCATGTTGTCAAATTTCTCACCATAAAATTATTGGTAATAATGCTTCATTAACTTTCTAATGTTTGCAGGGTCTGTAGAAATAGTCGCTCTTTCATTTCTGATATTAGTAATTTGTCCTCTTTTTATCCTAATCAGTGTAGCAAGACGTTTATCAATTTTATTATTAGAGTTTCATTTCTTTTTTCCTGTTTGTTCATTTTCTACTTTGTTGAGTTTTTCTCTTTACTATCTCCGTCCCACTGCTTTGGGTTTACTTCACTTTTTGTTTCTAGCCTTTAAGATGAAAGTGTAGATCATTGATTTTGGCTCACTCTTACTTTAATATAAGAATTTAAAGCTATACACTTCCCTCTAAACATTGTTTTAGCTGCATTATACGATTTTGGTATTCTGTGTTTTCATTAGCATTCAGTTCAAAATATTTCCACATTTCTCATTTGATTTCTTCATTGACCCATTGGATATTTAGAAGTATGTTGTTTAATTTCCTCCTATTTGAGGATTTTCCAAATATCGTTCTGTTATTGGTTTCCAGTTTACTTCTGATATGGTCAGGGAGCATACTATGTATCATTTCATTATTTTGAGTTCCTTGAGACTCGTTTTATGGTACAGAATATGGTCAACCTTGGTGGATATTCTCTGTGCAGTTAGAAATAGTGTGTAATCTGCTGTTTTGAGTAGAGTGTTCTTTAGATGTAAATTAGGTCCTGTTAGTTGTATCCTATCTGTAAACCAGTTTTCTGTCTATTTGTTCCATTAATTACTGACAGATGAGTGTTGAAATATCTGACTATAACTGTGGATTTGTTTATTTCTCATTTTAGTTCTGCCAGTTTTTGCTTCATTTATTAAAAATTCTGTTAATAGTTACATAGATATTTAAGATCATTACATGTCCTTGATTAATCCATTTATCCTTATTTCTCTCTTTATCTTTGATAATATTTCTTCTTCTGAAGTCTACTTGGTTTGATGTTAATATAGCCATTTAAATATTCTTTCGATTAGTGTTTACTTGGCCTATCTTTTTCCATACTTTTATTTTTAACTTGTCTGTGTTTTATATTTAAAATGAGAATTTTTCTCCACAGCGTATAGTTAAATATTGCTTTTAAAAAATCAATTTAAGAATCTGTGCCTTTTAATTTGATTGTTAAACCATTTATTATAAATGTAATTATCAGTATGGTTTGGTTTGTATCTATCATCTTGCTATTTGTTTTCTCTTTGTCTTATTTTTGTCTCTTTTCTCTTGGATTAATTATGTGTCTTTTGTAAGTCTTCTATTTTTTTCTCCACTATTGACTTATTAGCTTCAACTCTGTTTTATTTTTTTCTTAGAGATTGCTCTAGGTCAGCAGTTCCAAAACTTTTTGTTCTCAGGACTCCTTTATACTAAACGACCTCGTGTTGAGAACCTCAAAGAGCTTTAGTTTATGTGGATTACATCCGTTGATATTTATTATATTAGAAATTAAAATTCAAGAGGCTGGCCTGGTGGCATAGTGGTTAAGTTTGTGCACTCTGCTTCAGTGGCCCGGGGTTTGCCGGTTCGGATCCTGGGTGCGGACATACACACTGCTCATCAAGCCACTGCTCATCAAGCTGTGGTGGCATCCAACATAGAAGAACTAGCAGGACTTGCAACTAGGATATACAACTATGCACCAGAGATTTGGGGAGGAAAAAACAAGTAAGAGTGGCAACAGATGTTAGCTCAGGGCCAATCTTCCTCACCAAAAAACTACTAAAATAAAGAAATTAAAATTCAGAAATGAAAAATATTCTTTTTAAAACAACCATAATAATCTATTATGTAGTAACATAAATAACATTTTTTGAATTAAAAAAATTGTTTTCTGAAACAAAAACATTTAGCGAGAAGAGTGGCGTTGTTTTACATTTTTGTCAAAGTTCTTTAATTTCTATCTTAGTAGCTGCGTTCTTGTATCTGCTTCTGCTTTCAGTGTGTTATCATGTATCACATGTCATGTCACATCTGGAAAACTCCATTGTAAATTTGTGAGAGAATGGGAATGAAAAAGGTGAAGAGCATCTGAGTATTTACTGTGAAAATAATTTTGAGCTTCTCACCTCTGAGGAAGCTTTACTTCTGTTTTTATTATAAACTCCACAATAAATTTTTATTATTTTTACTTTAAACAACCATCTTTTAAAGAAATTTAAAAGTCAGGAAAGTTTTTTTTTATATTAGCACACATACTGAGCATTTCTGACACCTCATTTCTTTATGTAGATCCAGGCTTCCATCTGGTATAATTTCTTTTTTCCTGAAGAACTTTCCTTAGCAATCTATTTAGTGCAGTTCTACTGCTGATGAATTCTCTTGGCTTTTGTTTTTATGAAAAAATTTTATTTCACCTTCATCTTGGAAAGATGTTTTCACTGGATGTAGAATTATAGGCTTGTACCTTCTTCCAGCCCTTTCAAAATGTTTTTGGTTGTCTTCTGGCTTGCATAGTTTCTGACAGGAATTATGCACTAATTCTTATCTTTGTTCCTTTCTACCTAATGTGTCTTTTTCTCTAATTTTAAGTTTTTCTCTTTATTGTGGATTTTCAGCAGTTCAATTATTATGAGCCTTGAAGTGATGGTGGTGGTGGTGGTGATGGTAGTCCCTGTGTGTGTGTGCATACGCATGTGTGTTTATCCTTTTGGAATGTGTGGGCCTTCTTAGACCTAGGAATTTAGTTTTCATCAAATTCAGAAAATATGCAGCCATCATTTCTTTAAATATTTTTGTCTCCCTCCCCTCTCTTTATGACACTCCAAGTACATGATGTTAGATCCCTTGATATTGTACCCTAGGTTACTGAGGCTTTTTTTTTCAGTTAACAAAACAAAACAAAAACCTCTGTGCTTTGGTTTGGTTAGATTGGAGCTCACTAGTCTTTTTTTCTTCAGTGTCTAATCTGCTATTAATCCCACCTAGTGAAATTGTGCAAATATATATTGTATAAGTATATAGCGTATGTTTTATTCCTAAAGTTCCATTTGGTTCTTTTTTTAATCTGCCATGTGTCTCTTCATTATTTTCTTGTTTTCCTTTAAATACTTGTACTTCTGCTAGTGCCATCACATCTCTGCCATGTTTCTATTGACCTGTTTCTATTGACTTATTTTTCTCCTAATTATGAGTCACATTTTTCTGCTTCTTCGCGTGTCTGGAAATTTTTGATCAGATGATAGACATTGTGATGTTATATATTTGAGTATCTTGATGTTGTCAGGCAATTTAATTACTTGTGGAGTAGTTTGATCTCTTTGAGGCCTGTATTTAAACTTTGCTAGAGTGAGTCTTACCAACCTTCGTTCCAGAGCTAGATCAGCCCCACCTCTAGTGTGTGACCTCTGTGGGGTCTCTATGGAATGAATGCACCAGGCAACTCTCCACTCTGACTGGTCTGAGTTCAAAATGTCTCTCCACCCTCTGTGAGCTCTAGAAATTATTCAGCTAACAACTCTGCTGTCATTCTTTGCCAAGGTCTGTGGGATGGCCCTTGATGTATGTGCAGCCTGTTGCTCAGCAGAGACTCATGTGGACCCCTACGTACATTTATGGAACTCTTTTTCTGCGTAGCTTGCTTTATTCCAGAATCCTGCTTGACAACTTCTAGCTGTCTCAGCCTCCCCAAATGCTGATGTCTTCCTCAACTTACAAATGCTGCCAGGCTCTGTTTGGTTTTCATCCGTTTTTCCTGTAGTCTGGAAATTTCCTCCAGGCAGAATGTAAGGATGATCAGACGACTCACCTTATTTGTTTCTCTTCTCTTGGGAATCTGAGTCCTGTGTGCCTGTGGTCCAATGTCTGAAAACAGTTGTTTCATATATTTTGTCTAGTTTTTTAGATTAAGAGGCTAAATCTAGTTTTTATTATTCTATTCTGGTTAGAGGCAGAAGTCCATTTTGAGTTAAATATTTCTTAGGCCATGACACTGTTTTCTTGACCAATAATGACAAAAAATGTAAGACATTGCCACACTGTTGTCTTTTATTCCATCTTCCTGAATGACTTATAAGATGGCTGACTGGAGCCAGAACTTCAGCTGCGGCTGTAGAATATTGTCTCTCCATGAACCTTACTGCCATACATGAGGAGCTCTACATCTGTGAACTTTGAACAACTGGGCTTTATGCTTCAGATTCCAGATTCTAAATTATATCCCATCCCTAATTTTAAAAAATATCGCTGGGTGCTTTGTAAACTGTATCGCTTTTCTCAATCCATATGTCTCCTCTGGCTTATGACCCTCTGCATTTCGCACATCACCCCTAGAGCAGATGAGTCATGGTTCAATAATTGACAAACATGGGTTGAGATGCCTCAAGATTTCAACAAAATGGGAGTTGGGTAAACACGTGGTCATCCTACACTTGGAATTCCACGGTTGAAGGACCAAGTGAGACATTAGCTTTTAGATTTTTTTATTGTCAAGAATTAAGAAAAGCTAAATAAGAGTGGTCCAATCTCACTTGAAGCTTCTTGCTGAAAGAAAACTGACTGGATTATTTCTAGATTTGACTTGGGGAAGGGGTTGAAACTGAAAGTAGCCATAAGGACTCTAAGGTCTCAAGTTACTTTGAATTTGCTTTCTCAGAAAGTGATGTTTAAGCTTCAAACTGAGGTGAAGAAGTGCAAGTGGTTATTAAGGTTTCTTTTTTACCATCGTACTCTAAGCTTGGCCAGTATAAGGTGTTTGGGGGCTAAGGGAGGGAAAAAGTAGGAAAAAGTCAGGGAGCTGGGGTCGTGTGGGACACCACCACTGGCAGTGGGCAGCTGTTTCATCACATGTGGTCTGAGTGGATTTTGATTTAACCACAATTCTACAAATAGATTATTTTGTGGTTTGGGTACCAAGGGCCCCAAGGCATAGCTATTTAAATAATCATTAAATGATTTTTTTTTTTTCTGGGCAGGCTATAGAGTTGGAGCTGATTTTATTTTTCCTTTTTAGTAAAAAGGTCCATGGACATTAACCCCCAAACAGAGTGATGTTTAGATGCTGAAAGGTACGTCGTAGTCTGTGACATCCTTGGCTTTCTGAACTGATAATGACCAAAATTTCAAGACAATAAAATCCCTTTCAGCTGGTAAGAAAGATGAAGCAGATCTATATTTTCTAACAGGGGGAGAGGTCCAAAATATAGATTTTTAAAAATATGTGTTCTGGAATGATAATGGTTAAGATAATTCCATTTTTGTGTTAAAAAGCTCTTTGCATATATACAAGTGATATTTGGTAGATGTATATAAGTTTAAAAATAATACATGAGTTGGTATATGAAGAGGAAAAATCTGGAAAGATTCAACTATTAACGGACTGTTGACAGTGTCTACTGCTGAGTTCAGTCTTGGCGGGAGGATGGATATCTCCCTCTTACTTTGTATCCTCCTCCGTATTAGTAATTTTAAAAGTTGACGTTTATTGAGCATTTACTAAGTGCCCAGAACTGTGCTAAACATTCTGAATACTTAGCATTGTCTCACTCAATCCTCATAGCCCTGTGGCTGCCCTCGAATGTCTACACTGGAGGTGCTTCCTGGTGGCAAGTTGCCAGGAAGAGGGATCTGGGTACTTGCCTTGAGCTGTGTTTGCATACCAACCATACCATCGTTATGCGTTTGTGCATTTTTTTAGGATGACTTGGTGGAGGGGGAGGGTTGCTGCCAGGCAACCCCTTGCTGCTGAAATTACTCATAACAATCCAAAGAAGTAAGTACTGTTATTATTCCCAATAATATGAGGAGATGAGGAAACTGAGGCACAGAGAGGTAACATAATTTGCCCAATGTCACACAGCTAATAAACAGCAGAGCCAAGATTTAAATCTCTATCTGTTAAAATGCATAGTTCAGGCTCTTAATCTGAATTTGTTACAAGACAATATTCTCGTGATTTAAAAAATATTTCAAAAATTCAAATGGCCAATCTAAAAAATATGATTTTAATACGTTCTAGAGCTATGGAGAAGGGAAAAAATTATTTTTTTAAATATATTATTGCTGGTAAAGGATATCAAATTAAAACAAATATCTAATGTGTTAGAGAGCACTGCTACGAATACTAAGTCAGATGAGGCCTTTTACTTGTAAGTTTTAACCAAAGATTAATTTATGTGACTGTCTATTTTTACCTTTTCTTTCCCTTTTCAACAGGAGAGATTTACAAATAGTATTTGAGCATCATGGAGCTTTTAGGTTCTACTGTAACGACAAGTTGTGCCCACCCTAGAGCAACACCAAGTGACTTTCTACCCGCCATCAGTACCATGGCATCAAGCTACAGGGCCCGCTTCCCCCACTACAATTTGGCACATGGCTTGAGCCTGCCTTGGAGACCCAGCACATACTACAGAGTGGCCTCCAGCTTGCCGACCCTGGCCCCGTACTGCGCCAGGTCTCAGAAGGTGTGCGAGAGCACCATGCTCCCCTTTGTTTCCAACAGAACTACCCTCTTCACCAGGTACACCCCTGATGACTGGTACAGGTCCAATCTAACCAACTATCTAGAATCCAACACTTCCCGGCACAATTCAGAGAGACTAAGGGTGGATACATCTCGCCTGATTCAAGACAAATATCAACAAACGAGAAAAACCCAGGCAGACTCCACCCAAAATTTGGGAGAACGTGTCAATGACATTGGATTTTGGAAATCTGAAATCATTCATGAGTTGGATGCAATGATTGGAGAGACAAATGAACTAACTGATGTTAAGAAAAAATTGGAGAGGGCTTTGATGGAGACAGAAGCCCCTCTTCAGGTAAATACAAGGCCCTATGAGAAAAGACACTGCTTTTTAATGACTGTAACACATTGGTTGAATTCCTGAGGTTATTTATCTATTGAATTACGTTTCGATAGAAGCCGACATCCTGTATAAATCTGTAACTGGTTTCAGTAATGGTAAAACCATTGCCGTTTTTATACCAGAACAACCATTTAAGTAGAGGGAATTCTGAATGCAAAGCAAAGGAGGCTAATTAAAGAGACACCCTTAGGGACACACAGTGTGTTATGGTGAAAATGCCTTCTTCCCATCTCTTAAATAGGCTGCTTGGTCACTGTTGTCCCTGGATTAATGTAAACAGTATTTGAAAAAAAAAACAACTATTCTTTTAGTCTGTGTCATGAAATACCTCCTATGTACATGTCATGATTCCATTTCCGGGCACAGTGACATTCTCAAAAGAGACCTTCTTAAGAGACAGAGTGAGCTTGATTCAACAGGGACATGAGGCTGAGGATGAGCCCATTGTCATGCTTGTGAAGGCAGCACTGCATTTGGCTGCTGGCCTCTGGCCAGGCTTTTGGGTGGGCTAAATTACCTCTAACCCTCTGGGTGTGGGATGGACCCTCCACTCCATTCTACCCACCAGCATTGAAAGAAGACTCTCTTTATTTTAAAAAGTGCAAATTACAGAAATGATTTCAGAAGGTGCATATATTTTGATGAGAAAAGCCAACACCATTCTTCCGCATATTTCACATGTGATGAGCATTTCTAGTAGGTCTTTGTCATGATGTCTGAAGTAGGAGAGTTTAGAGAATCGAGGAGCTAGAAGCCTAGAAGGTTGAGGGGTTTGTTGCAGACTCCTGAGCACAGTTCCTTCTTATTGCGCCCCCTCCCCACTAAACTCAAGCACACACAGATACACACAGCCGCCAGAAATCCTGAGAAAGGTCAAAAGTGCGCTCATGATGTCTTTTTAATGAACCCATCATGAATTGTTTTCTAGGCTCAGAAGCCCTGTGGTATTTTCTCTGGCCCCAGTTCGTTTTGAGGATTCCTGGTCTATTCTACACCCCACACCACCCCTAAGTACTTTAAAGTGTCCTTAAAATGACAGCCACGTACCCTCTGGATTTCCAGAGGAGATTCCGTTTCTTTCCTTAGGACTCCTTTCAGTGATGGTTGCTTTCAGAGAGATGGGTAGAATTTGATTTTTTTCTGCAATTTTTGTCTAGATGTTCTTGTCTGTTTGAGCAGTTCTATCAATACAGTATCAGGAAGTCCTGATTAAAATTAGAGTCAGTCACACAAACAGATACATTTCAAAAGAGAAAATACAGACGACCGACTAATATAGGAAAAATGTTAAAATTCAATAAAAATACAAATTAAATGAATGAAGTAACCAGTTTTGGCCTATCAACTTTGCAAAGATGAAAACTGATCAAACATCTAGGGTTGGCAAAAATGCAGAAAGTGGACACTTTCATTTATTGGATTGTGGACAAATAGAAACTTCCTAGAAAGCAATTTAGTAATACGTGTCAAAATAATCAGAGTTGCCCCTAACTTATTAACTCGTCTGCATTCTTGGGTGACCTACATGTTTACTACTACCTAACAGTAAACATAAATTATGCTATTAAAAAAACTAGAGAGTCACTCAAAGAGTTTGTTTAATGATATATCTGGATTACAGTGCACCTACTTTATAGTTTATGCTTTTAAAAAATTTAACATGATACAGTTGCCCCATGTCGTGAAATAGTCTTCAAAAAAAAGTATTTTAACAGTTACATAATGTCCTTTCATCCATAATTTACTGGCAGCAATTTAAGCTGTTTTCCATTAGAGTCACTAACATACTTTGTCTCAGAGTATTTCATGGTTGGGGCCTCCCCTTTAATGTCAATTTTAAAAAGCCTAATATAAAATTGTAAGGACATTATAACCTTTGTTTTATTAGAAACAAACAAAACAGTGACAGGGGAAGGGGTAAGTCATTTCTACTTTCTGTATTTTTTCTCTTTAACGGATAATGCACATTATTTTTATAGTGAAGAAAACAATAAACGGTGCTTTAAACATAGTCACTTGGATTATTTGCCTAAAAAAATGTTTTGGTATCTTTAAAGATAATCATTTGTTTCTTCCAAATAGAAAATATTTGGAAATAATATCTTTTTATTTTTTAAAGATTGGCACCTGAGCTAACTGTTGCCAATCTTTTTTTTTTTTCCTGCTTTTTCTCTCCAAATCCCCCCAGTACATAGTTGTATGTTCTTAGTTGTGGGTTCTTCTAGTTGTGGCAGGTGAGATGCCGCCTCGGCATGGCTTGATGAGTGGTGCCATGTCCACGCCCAGGATCCGGACCGGCAAAATCCTGGGCCCCCGAAGCGGAGCGGGCAAACTCAACCACTCGGCCACAGGGCCAGCCCCGGAAATAATATCTTGAAGACTGTATTTCAGGTTATTTCTAGAAGAAATTAATGCCAAGTAATTTTCTCAGATGCCAATTTGTGGGGATCAACTAGATGCCACCTGCTTCATTTTGTCAACTGTCCGAATTAGGAATTTTTTCAAACTGCTTCGAAGAGCTGACTCTACCTGCTACGTGGCGGCAGGGGCTCACTGAGCTGTCACAGTCGTTTTCATGCCAGATTTCCACCAAAATGGCTTGAAAAGTTGGTATTGGGAGTGTCTGTTGACTTGTTTTAGAAACAGGTCATTAGAAGTGCTAGCCACTGGTTTTAGTCAGTTTGCATTAGTGTTTTCCATTACGTGTGTATCTGTAGGTAGCCCGAGAATGTCTATTTCATCGAGAGAAGAGGATGGGAATCGATCTAGTTCATGATGAAGTGGAAGCGGAACTGCTGACGGTAAGTGTCGGGGAAATGCTTCAACTGGAAACTTGGTTGCAAACGTGCGGTTAACGTACAGAAACAGAATGATGTCACATGAAGCCACTTTAAGTAAGGAATTACAGTATCATGTTTATGGCATTTAGAAAAGATACATTTTTTGTTATAAAAGTAATAGACATTCATTGAGAGAATTTTAAAATACAGAAAGGATAAAGAAAGATAAAAATCACCTGAAGTTCACTTAGCAGAAGTGAAAGTTAATTTTGGAGTATTTCAGTCTTTTTATTAATTGTACTTAGATAGGCAGCACCCAACTCAAAGACACACAGACACGTCTTTAAGGTTAGAATTATACTGAATATATGAATTTGAATAGTGCTTTTTCTTTTGCTGGGTAAATGCTCAATGATGTTTATTCTTAAATATAGACGTGGGAAAGCAGTGCATTTTTTTTAAAGACTTAGTTTTTTTAGAGCAGTTTTAGATTCACAGCAAAATTGAGAAGATGACACAGGAATTTCCCATATATCTGCTGCGCCCACGTATGCATGGCCTCCTCCATTATCAACATCCCCCACCACAGTGGAACCATAGTGCTTTATTTATTTAAAACTTATATTGGGGTAGTTTTCCCGTATCATTAGATATTCTTCAAGATATGATTTTAATGGTTACATAGTGTTCCACAATGTGAAGGTGCTATCATTAAAAAAAAAAAAATCAATCCTCTCTTTTTGAATAATTAGGTTATTTCCTTATCTCACTCCATTTTGTTTTGCATTTTAATACCACTGCAGTGTACAAAAATATTATTGATAGCTATGTATTTCTGATTATTCCCTTAGAATACATTTTTTAAAATGTCATCGATGTGTCAAAGGGTATATGCATTTGGAAAGCTTTTGACGTATAGCCAAATTGCCATCCGGAAGCTTACAGCTATGTCTGCACTACTGTGCTGGTCCTCCCATGAGGCTTCTTCCACTTTCCACCAATTAAGTTTGATTGAGTGCTCGGTTCTCTGATCTTCACTTCCTAGACTTACCCCACAAGATCTCTGTCCATTCTTTAAGATTTCAGCCATTACGTGCCTGGCACCCTTCCTAATCTCTTTTTTCAGCCCAGAGACTCTATTAAGCCTTAGATTTGCCTCCCTAAGTGCCCGCCAAACATAGCTACGTTGGTAACTCATTTTTTTTTTGGTTCACATTTATGAAGCCTAAAAGTGAACTTTTCTTTTACCCTGATGCCTTCTGCCTTCCCCTTTCTACTGGTGGTACTATTACTGGTTCTGTCACTCTTCTGCCTTCTCCTTTCTATGGATGGTAGCAAGGTTCTCCAGTCACTGTGGCATGGCTTGCTGACCATCATCTCCACCCCTGTAATCAATTTCCAGGGTCTGTAAATTTCTCCTCTGATTTGCTTGTTCCTCTCTCCTTTCCATTCCATTCTCCCTACCATTGTTCTAAATCATCTTTTCCTTCTTTATAGCTGGTTAATGTGAAATCTCCAAATCCTTTCCCTTCCCCCAGTTTCACCTGGATCCTTACTGCACATGATCACCAGTTTTCCCATCTGCCAAAAAACTTCCTTGACTGCCTAATTGCTATAGGAGAAGATTCACGTTGGTCTTGCCTTGTCTGGCTCTCACCCCTTCTCAGTCTCATTTTCCACTCTGACTTGCTGAATTTCTGCTGCAGCAAATCAGTTCACTGTCCCTGAACCAGATTTGCAGGGTCCTACCTTTTCGACTTTGTTTGACTGACCCTTGGTAAGAAATGAATCCTGAGTAAGAAAGTACATATGACTAGCTAGCAACCTGGTCATCAGCATCCTTATAAGTCATCAAGGGTCCCTTTTAACATTGTGCTAAATATTTTTAGTGACTCATTACACTAAGGATGATAAGCAGAAGTTTTAGAAGTTGCTCTTTCCTCTATTGTTTGACTCTCTGAAAGAAATATGAGTTGAAATAATATACTCAGGAAAGCTTTGGCCTCTACAGAGAAGCTATGCAACCTACTTTGTAAAAGCCACAGCCCCTACTGCTGCATATTAGTGATTAGGAATAAGACATCCTGAATGAAGTAGCTTTACAACGATGGGTCCCTGCTCTGCTGTTTCTTCTTTCCTAGCCTCTGATGAATCTTGCAAGTCTTAAAATAATCTGTCATCTACTTTGTCACCCTAAATGGGGAGGAATTTAGCATCAAATATCCATTAACCTCTTTTTCTCACTGATCCTGAGATGATCTGTGTGAAGTAAATTATAAGCCACTTCTAACTACTTAACTTCAGTTTGCCCATGAACACCTATTGTATTTCTAAGAGACTTTTTTGAAACTTGGGTACTTTATTGTTTCCATTATTTTGGCTCTCAAACCTGGCTGCACTTTAGAATCACTTGATGAAAGTTTTCGAAATATCAGTGACTGGGTTTCACATCCAGCCATTCTGATTCAAATCTGGAGTGGAGACTAGGCATTGATATTTAAAAATATTCCCAAGGTGATTTTAATGAACAGCCAGAGTTAAGGTCACTGCTTTAAAACTGCAAAATATTGTTGATAGAAATTAGAGAAGATCTAAATAAATTGGCATACCATGTTCATGTATCAGAAGACTAAATAGTATTAAGATGATAGTACTTCCCAACATAATCCACAGATTCAACACCATTCCTATCAAAATCGCAGCTGGCTTATTTGTAGAAATTGACAACTGATCCTAAAATTCAAATGGAAATTCAAGGGATGCAAAATACCCCAGATAATATTGAAAAAGAAGAAAGTTGGAAGACTCTCATTCTTGATTTCAAAACTTACTACAAGGCTACAATACGTAAGACAGTGTAGTACTGGCATAAGGATAGACATATTGATCAATGGAATAGAATTTGAGAATCCAGATATAAACCATCACATTTACAATAAATTAATCTTCAACAAGAGTGCTGAGACAATTCAATGGGAAAGGAAGAGTCTCTTCAACAAATGGTGCTTGAACAATTGGATATCCTCATGCAAAGGCGGAAGCTGGACCCCTACCTCACATATATAAAAAATTGAGTCAAAATGGAACAAAAACTTAAATGTAAGAGCCAAAACTGTAAAACTCTTAAGAGAAATCATATGCATAAATATTTGTGACGTTGGAGTAGGCAATACTTTCTTAAATCTATACTAAAAGCACAATGCATAAACAACATAAGAAAAAATAGATAAATTGGACATCATCAAAATGAAAAACTTTGATGCTTCAAAGAACATCAACAAAGTGAAAAGACAATTCACAGAATTGAATAAAATCTTCACAAATCATATATCTGATAAGGGACTTATATGTAGAATATATAAAGAACTCTTACAACTCAAAAAAACCCCCCACAAATAACCCAATTCAAAAATGGGCAAAGGATTTGAACATAGAGTTCTCCAAAGTGGATGTGCAAATGGCCAATAAGCATATGAAAAAATGCTCAACAACATTAGTCATCAGGAAAATGCAAATAAGACCACGATGAAATACTACTTCACACCCACGAAGATAGCTATACTCAAAAATACAGATAATTATAAGTGTTGGTGAGAATGTGGAGAAATTAGAAACCCTCATGCACTGCTGGTGGGAACGTAAAATGATGCAGTTGCTTTGGAAAATGGTTAAACATAGAGTTACCATATGATTTAGTAATTCCACTCCTACATATTTACCCAAGAGAAAAAAAAGTACATGCCCACACAAAAACTTATGCATGAATATTCACAGCAGCATTATTTATAACAACCATTTGGAAAAAACCCAAATGTCTACCGACTGAATAATGATAAATAAAATGTGGTATATCCATACAATAGAATGGATGTTTTATTCAGCCATGAAAAGGAATGAAGTGCTGATATATTCTACTAAATGGATGATCCTTGAAAAATTTATGCTAAGTGAAAGAAGCCAGTCACAAAGGACCGCATATTGTATGATTCCATTTCTATGAAATACCCAGATTAGGGAAATCTATAGAGACTGAAAGTAGAGTGGTGGTTGCCTAGGAGAAGGAGGCTTGCAGGATTGGAAATGGGGGGTAATAGCTAAGGGGTGTGTTGTTTCTTTGGAGGCTAATGAAAATGTCCTGAAGTTGGTTCTGGCCGTAATCACATGACTCTGTGAATATACTAAAAGCCATTGAATTTAACTGTAATTACAGTTAAATACATGAATTCTATTGTAAATGAATTACATCTCAATAAAGCAGTTTTTTAAAAAAAAACAAACAAGAACCACTGCTTTAGAGATTGGTACTTTTTAGGTCAGTAGCGGGGGCTGCTTTACCTCAAAAGAACGGAACCTGCAATTAGAGTAATGGCGCACCAGCTGAGGGGGTGCCAGGGGCATTGCCAACTAATTAAACTAGTGAAGGTGTCCTGGAGCTTACTCAAGGTTGTGATATTAACATATCTTTTATTTTTACCAAAATGGGTCTCAATTTTTAGGATAACTGAATGAACATTAGCCAAGAATAAAAGTAGTCTTAAAAAGTCTACTTTTGAAAAACATGGGTGAAATGAAATATTTTCTCATGAATCTTGTTGACTATTACTCACATTCAATCAGTGATATTCCCCAAATTCTTACAGAACGGCCTGTCTTGGGGACTCCATCAGGCATCATCTTCTTGGTTCTCCCAGACCGTGCTAACGCCTCGGACTCTGAAGCCGAATGAAACTTTGAGTACAGATTAATGGATGTTAATGTTGGGGGCAGTTCCAAAGGTCTTTGGTCTTAGGCATTCCCTATTCCCTTGAACCCTTCTGCCCCCAAACATCGAACATATACCATATGACATTATTTAAGTTCAAATATGAAAATTGCTGTTGAAAGCTCTTTGTTTTATAACAAAAGTCTAATTGAATGCCTTTTTTCCACTAAAAGTTTCAGGAATTCTCACTATATGCATTGTGTGCACACAGTATAAAAGCTCACTAGGATTTTGGGTTTTAAGTGGTGTTTTCTAAGCAGTACTTCATGCATCCTTTGCCAACACCTCAGTGAAATGGCCACACACATGCGTGCGCAAAAGAAGCCACAGAGAAAGATGAAGATCGAACAACACTAAAAACTAAGACTGATGCACAACCTGCTGTGAGACGGGTGAGAGATCTTTGCTACCTGCGAGGGCAGGGAGAAAGAACCTTGTAACAATGTGTGGTCGGAGCATTAACTCCATTAATTCAGAGATTGAAAGAGTCAGTCAGTAGGGTTATCACTGAGAAAAACTGTAGGCATATTCAATATTTATATTTTAAGCAATAAAAAGATAAGAAGACTACTTAGTTAAATAATAATTACTATTGGAGTGAAGAAGTCCTTTACAATCAAATTAATGAGGGAAGAAATCAAAAGGGGATATTTGATACATTTGACATCATAGAAATCATAAATGTCTATATCAAAATGCCAGGCATGGAACATAAAGGCAGGGCCAAACTGTGAAAAGAGATCCCTCTCTGTACATATGTATTTATATCTATATATCTTGGTATCTATATCTATCTATCTATCTATCTATCTGTACTATATAGATAGATATGATGAGAAAGGATTGAATTTTAAATATAAGAGCAATAAACTAATTTAAAAAAGTGGACAAGCACATGAACAGGCAGCTCACAAAAGAAGAAAGTCAAATGATGAACAAATATGTAGTCATAATGGTAACCTTGAAATCCCAGCAGGTTTGCTGTGTTTTTGAGGGGGGGTCCTATCACACTGACAACAATTGAGAGGAGTGATAATGGCCACTTAGTGTGTGAGGGGAGGAAGCGCACACTCATTTCTTGTTGTAAATGGGTACAACCTTTCTGAAGGGCAATTTGGCTGTACTTGTCAAAACCTTGAAAAAAGGCGTACCTTTGGGGGTGCCTAAATATTTACTGAGGATGTTCATCACGGTATTGTTTAACATCATGGGAAAATGTTCAAGTTAAAATGAAAAAGCAGGCCACAAGACAGTATGCATGGTATGGTCATTTTTCACTTGAAAAGGTGGTAACAATGATTATGCACACTTTTTAAAGGTCTTCTTGGTGCTATTTTGAGTTCCTAGATTTTCTAAGGTGAATATGAACTTCAGAGGGAAGTAAATGTTTATTTTAAGAAAAATCTCAGATACGACACGTTATATAATAGTGTGTATGTTCTAGCAGCATCAAAATGCCACGTGTTGTCAAGCAGAACAGCGTAGCTAGCACAGGTGTTTGTCTGAGCGTGGAGCTGGGCTGCAGGGCGCAGGCAGGACTGAGGGGTGGGCTGGCCTCTGGACCGAGGAGTGGACTGTGGGAGGTTATGTGCACTGCCAGAGAGAAGCCTCTTTTTGGCTGCCCTTTTTGCCTCCCCGGTTTACTTTATCTTGGAAGAACAGTTGGTATAGAAGAAGCTACGCATTAAATTCAACCTTGCATATCACCAGGATTTAATTAATTAACTAAAGAACCAGAGATAAGATTAAAGACCCTAAAATTTTACCCCTGTTCAAACGTGTTCCATGGTATAATTTTGCTGTAGTCCTATAAAAGGTGAATCTCAGTCTAATATTTAGACCCCAATATCATGGGGAGATATAAGTAAATAAGTGCATGTAAAATTGTTTTACTTCACAATTTTTCCAGAAACAAAGTTTTCCTTCATGGGTGCTTTGTTACATTGTTGACATTGAATGTTATACTCAATAATGAAAACATTAATGTGTTTTCTTTTTCAATTGAGTAGGAAGTTGATGTTATTCTGTGTTGTCAAGAAAGAATGAAGCTACATTTGGATAAGGCCATTGCCCAACTTGCGTAAGAGCTTTACCTCTCTCTACAATTTAGGATTTGTCACGAAACTATACTTTCATGCCTCCCATTCCCATTTCTCTTAGCTTCTTAGATAAGGATTTCTTATATATAGATACACGCAGGTGCACATATATGGGTTTTATTCAAAGGTTATGATGAGTACTTGCTTTAAATTTTTATTTAAAGAAATAATTTTGAGATGCTATAGCAAGGATTTCTGCCCTAACTGAGTATGGCTAAGATTTCTTTTAGCTCAGAAGACTTTTATTCTTTGATAAGAGATTGACTTGTATATGTTCAGCCTAACAACATACTTGGAAATGTAATGAATCATGGCTTGCTCCTATGGTTATTGTCCGTACCTCCTTAAAGACTCAGCTGCCCCTGATTTCTTGGTAGACTCTTCTGCTCCATCTTCCTTCGTGCTCTGATTACACCAGCACAGCATTCACTGTATCCCATTGCACTGTAATTGTAGTAGATAGTAGGCACTAATATTTATAGTGGGATTGGGGGGTGGAGAATAATAATCAAAGGAAGGTTTTAAGCAATGATAACAGCTGTCAGGACAGAAAAGGTATTGGCTGAGCCTGTTGCCTAACATGAATGGAAAGATCAATGTTCATTTGGTTGTGGCCATGGAAAGAAGTAGTGTCGAGTATGTTACACAAAGGAGACAATGATTCTGCTTATACTGATGTTGTCAAGGATAACGTGGGATACACCCAAAGGAAGAGGTGTTGGTACTGTTTGCTTATCTGCCTACCCTGCCCATCAGGATTGAGGCTGTGAAGGTCGGTGAGGTTTAGGTGGCTGAGATCTCTCTCGAGCTGTGATTGGAAGGGCTCCTTAATTCAGAAATCGGTGAGGACAGGTGAAAGATTAGTTGAGGATGCCTGACTGCCCGTGGTTTGGTCAACTGTACAGCTTACTTAAGCTATAAATACGAGGCAGTGCAGTTCCGATATTAATTTCCGGTTTCTGCTCCCTAGGAATTGCAGAAACAGTGGGGTTCAAAGAGTTGTTTCTGTTCTGTTTTCTTCTGGTCTAGTTCCTAATCCTTATTTTCTTTCATAATCTAAAAACTGCTGCCCATCTTCCATGTTCTCTGCTCTTCTTGGCCCAGATGGTTCCACCCACAGCCACATCTTCATATTGGTTCCCATTATAAATTGCCTCCTCACTGGCCCTAATGCAGGCCTTTGCAGGAAGTTCTGTCTCTGCGTCTTCACCTTTGTGAAATTTGTGTTAGCGATCTTGTAAGAGCTTGACTTTCCTTTAATACACAGTGGGCAAAATGCCTACCTTACTTCCTGGGATGGCTTCTCCAGGATTTGTGGGGGCCTGGATCCTTAAGGTGGCTGCTGGACTCGGTCCAGCAAAGGTTGTTGGGAGGAGGGTTTTCCAACTCCACTTGTCTCGGTGGGAACAATGAAGCGCTCAGTTTGGATCTCAGCTGAAAATGGCATCTCATTAGGCATCAACATGGCAGCCAAGATTTTTCCCATTTTTAGGCTATGAGACAGGTCTGTGGAGTGCTGCCTCAAGCACTTTCCTAAGGAGATTCTGAGGTGTCATCCCAGAGTTTCAGCTCAATAACCTGGGGCAAGATACCGAACACAGAAGTAGCAAGGGGACGCAGCTTCGCACCTCTCATCCTTTGCGCATGTGTACTGCTTTACAATTCACAAAATGCAGCTGCCTGGCTTGCTGTTGCCCTCGTTTCCACTTTACAAATTAGAAAAGTGAGCTCTGACAGGTCAAGTGCCTTACCCAAAGGCACGGGCTGAATTAAAGGGAGGCTGCGTCTAGAATTAGTCTATTCAATTCAATGCAGGCTTTACTGAGTGGCTTCTGTATGCAAAGACACTTTTGGGTGCGGGGAATATAGAAATGACTAAGATCATCCAGTTGTCCAGCTTTTTCAAATACTATCTATATGCTAACGCCTCCCAGATTTTTATTCTTATCCCAGGTCTTTCTCCTAAATTCCAAGAACCTACTTGGTACCTCCACTTGGAGGTTTAATGCACACTCAGGCTCAGTGTGTCAATTGAACTTCTCTCTTCTCCCAGCCTACTCACCCACAGCCTCGCCCACCTCAGTTGATGAAATTCTGCTGTTCCAGTTACTCACCTTCAGCTCTTTTTTCTCACTGATGTCCAGTCTCCCACAAGATTCGCTTGGTTCTGTCCTTAAAACATATCTGGAATCGGAGCACTTCTCGCCTCCTTCCACTGTGCCCCCTTGGTCCAGGCCATCTCTCACCCGGGGAACCGCACCAGTCTGCTAATGGGTCTCTCTGCGCCGTGCAGTCTGTTCTTAACACAGCACCAGAATGATCCTTTGAAATTGTAAGTTAATGGTCTCTCATTTCCCTCGGAGGAAAACCTGACTTCTTCCAATGTCCAATGGGGCCCTGCATGATCTGGTTCTCCCCCTGCAAGTCTTTGCTCAAACATCGCCTCCTTAAGGAGTCCTACTCTGACCGTCCTATTGAGAATCACCACTCACACTCCTGGCCCCCTTTTCCTGCATGGTTTTCTGCATTGTTCTGCTAACAAACCACATGACTTGCTTATTCATTGTGGGTGTTGCTTGTCTCTTCGTGGTAGGATGTGAGGTCCTTTGGGAACAGATGTTTGTTTTGTCCATCATGCATCCCAGGCTTGTAGAACAGTGCCTGGCACCTAGTAGGCGCTCAGTAAGCAGCTGCTCCATGAGTAAAGATGGGGTCACTTGTCGCCCACGCCTGCACCCCGGGCCTGTCTCTTTGGTAGTGAGCAGCAGGTCTCCTCTCTGCCTGACAGGGCAGGGCATGCCACGCACCTCAGAGCTCACTAAGGCCTCTTCCTTCCCAGGAGGGCGGCTGCTGGATCACACGGGTCGGGGGGCCACCAATTGCTGATCCTTTTCAAGAACTCTGTCTCCTGCCCTGGAGGTTAATTTTGACCCTTGGTCTCCATCTCCTGCCAAACTTCTCAGGCCTGGCATGACCACACTAGGTCACCTGCGGCTGGAGAGAGGCTGGCTGTAAATCCCTCATAACTTCTTGGGAAATTGCGCTCAAAGAATGGAGGAGAAAGGGGTTAGGATGTAGACGAGGAAAAGGAGGACGGAAAGGAAGGCACAGATGTGGGCAGATTATTTTAAAGCAGTGTCCTGTCTGGAACAGTTGTGTGTTAGGAGGATGAGCCCCTGTCCTGGGGCTCCAAACACCCAACTTCTGTTTTTCTACACCTTTCTCCCCAAGCCCCTCCCTACCCCATAGAAGGGGCAGTGTGGGCAGGGTTCTAAGTACTCACAGGTGTGGACATCTCCAGAGAAGTTTCTTTTTAATTGAGAAGGAGGACATTGTGTTAAGGAGGAGAGACCCTGAGAGCAGAAACGGGTGGGTCCAACAGAGGAGGGCAATTAGGTTTCCTCACCAAAATTGTTACCTAAACTTGAAGCTCCATTTCCCTACTCTGTGTTCTAGAGCTAACAGAGCTTCCCAGCATGAGCTGGAGAAAGACCTGAGTGACAAACAGGCGGCGTACCAAATCGATGATAAGTGCCACCATCTGCGAAACACGTCCGATGGCGTCAGCTACTTTCGTGGCGTGGAGAGGGTGGATGCAACGTAAGTCAGGCTCACACCGCTTCTATGATTTCGATGTCGTTTAATTCGTTCTCTCTTCTTTCAAGATGATGCGGCTTACAGGTTAAAATGGAAAACACAGGAAGATGTGGAAAGGTAAAAGGCACACCTGTTTTGAACAAGTCTGCAGGAAGCGTGCGTGTTCCGCAGTCAGCCCTTGACACCTGCATCCTGTATTCTTTTGCAAAAGAATATTTGGTGTTTAAATTTCTAACTATGAAAATAACATCTATTTGATGCAGAAAACCTAGAAAGCACAGATAAGCATGAAGAAAATAAAGTGTTGCCAGTGTATTAGATGCCCTCGACTCGATGGGCTACAAGCTGAAAAACAGCTTAATGTTTTTATTATGACTGCTTGTGAAACTTGCTCTGTCAATGGTTCCTTCACCAGGCCCCTGCATGAAATTTTGGGTTCATGGTCCTTTCCAGCTATTCCTTAAAAAAAAAAATCAACTTGACTGAGGTGAAATTTACCCACAATAAAATGCATTTGGTGTAAGTGTACATCTTGATGAGTTTTGACAAATTTCTCTTCCTATGTAACCACGATCACAGTTGAGATAAAGAATATTTTTGCCACCCAAAAAAGTTCCCTTTTGTTCTTTCCACACTCATGCCCCCTCCCCCTTGTAAAGTGACCCCCAAATGGATTCCCTCCTGTGAGGCTAGTCACCCCCGAAGCAGTCCCCCTCTTAGCTCTCCAGCAGCAGCATGTACGAACTTTGACTTTTAATTTCTTCAGGTGTGAATCAGATTATGTCCTAAATGGTCCGCATAAAATTCTTCTTACTTGCTTGAGGTGAGCAGGAAGCATCTTCCTCCTCTCCTTCTGGAGCGGGGATGGGCTGGGATCGAACCCCACACTCTGACCAGTTAACCCTCCATGAAGGGCCTGCTCTATTTCTGGCGTGAAGTCTAGCCATCTTAGAGACTATCAGGGTAAGGAGCATATAGGGTGTTATTTTGGGTCATGGAGGCCTGAGTGAAAAATTCTAGCCCACAGTAAGAGTCTTGTTTGATATCCTATTACATCACAAACAAACAAATGTCACCCTACCACTCAGAGACACCCAATGATAACAATTTACCCTTAGACCCTCCAATATCCTTTCATGCATGTAGACATAGACGAATATTTTTAAATAATGGTATCACACACATACATTTTTGTATAGCCTGTTTAATTTTTCACTTCATGATATATCAAAAACCTTGTGACCATATTCTTCTACAACAAGAGTTTACATACATGGATTACTTTCGTAAATGTACCATAATTGACTCAACTTTTTCTTTAGTTTTGGACATTTAGGTTCTTGGCGTAAACCATTAGTACTTCTTGGATTACTCCTGGTTGAGTGTTTTTTCATTTAAAGACTGGCATAAATATTGCTGAAGATGACTGTCTCGTGTATACATCTTTGGGTGCATTATTTCCTTAGGAGAAATTTCTGTCACACTCGCTTCAGCAGCACCTGTGCTAACACTGGAAGTATGCAGAGAAGAGTAGCATGGTTCCTGCACGAGGGTGATGCGCAAATTCAGGAAGCTCTCCGTACTTTTAGTCCCAGCGATGTAATGTACAGCCTGGCGACTATAGTTAACCATACTGTATGGTATATTTGAAAGTTGCTAAGAAAGTAGATCTTAGAAGTTCTCATCTCAAGAAAAAAAATTTGTAACTATGTGTGGTGATGGTGATCACTTTGCAATGTATACATATATTAAATCATTATGTTGTACACCTACCTAAAACGAATGCAATGTTATATGTCAATTATATCTCAATTAAAACATTTTTCTAGGAGTGGAATCTCTGGGTGATGCACCTTTGAAAGACTCTTGGTTTAACCTCCAGCGTGTTTGTGCCAAGTCAACATTCCTATCTGCAGGATATGAGGGAATCTTCTTCTAAACATGCTCACCAGCAAACTGTCATTCTCTTCACTCTTTGCTATTCTGATAAAGGACTATTTGTGTGTCATTGTTTTCATTAGTACTTCTTGGATTACTCCTGGTTGAGTGTTTTTTCATATGCTCATTGGGCCAGTGTGACACCTTTCTAATAAACCGACATACCCATACCCTTCATCAATCCTTTTTTCCCTCCAAATTGGCAGAAGAGTTAGTTTATGCTTTGGACTTACAGAGAATAAGCAGTAAAATAAGGAGCAATTAAGAAAAATTTAAAATCAGTTTTCCTCTGAGGTTTGCATTTTATGCAATAAAACCAGGATCCAGTGATTTGGGTTTTCTCTTTCACAAGATGATTGATTGCCTACAGACTATCTAGGCTGGTTCATCATTGTCACCATTGTATGGTTCTACTTCCTTTTTTCAGGATCTCAGTGCCCGAGTCCTGGGCCAAATTTACAGATGACAATATTCTGCGCTCCCAGAGTGAAGGAGCTGCCTCTGCCAAACTCAGAGAGGACATTCAAAACCTCTTAGTTGTGACTGCCAACGAGATGTGGAACCAGTTCAACAAAGTGAACTTGTCTTTCACCAATCGCATTGCTGAGACTGCAGATGCTAAAAATAAGATTCAGGTTCACTTAGCAAAGGTAAATCAAGCATGGGTGGTACCCCTTAGCTGAAGCGGGTAGGTGGAGCAGAGGCTCGGGGACCACAAATCTCTCACCACTCCCAGAGACGCCTTTTGGCACACGACCTTTTGGCCATGCAGACTGAGAAAAATGAAACACAGTACAAAGCACACCATTTATTTTAGCCAGGTAGCCAGGTGTCAAAATGAAACTGGAATCCACTGAGTTTTTGGAACACAAAGAACACACTATGTAAAGAAAGGTTCTTAGTATTTAATAGAAACAAAAATATTATTATTAAAGTTTAATGAATCACGTATGTAACTAGGAAGTGAATTTATTATTAGAACATATGGTAGAAATGTTTTCTGTTAAATTATTTCAGGCCCTTTTTTCTGGAATACAAAACCAAATACAGGAAGCTATTAGGTGGTTCAAAGTGTTTCTGATATTAAACTTTTAAACTTTTTAAAGTGCTCTAATTATGAGTTTTACAATGATTTAAGCAGAATTCATATATTTCAAGATAAACTAGGAGCTCTTCTTTCATTTAGTATCAGTCTTGGAGCTCTATTATTTCTATGGATTATGCTGCATATAATTTATCGTCTCTTTTAAGAACCTTACACTGTTGGCCATGTCACTCTCAGGTGATGTTATCCAGTCAAGGGCACCATGTTTTCCCAGGCTGCAGCAATTAACCTTTCCTTCTCATGGTATCTTTTGAGCAACAAATATTTATGAGCCAGACAGTGTCCTACATAGTGTGACAAGCAGAAAGAAGTATAGAATGTAGTTTTTGTTCCCAGGAAGCTTATACTTGTGGAGAAGAGATGCATACATATGAAAAGCTCATGAGCAATTGGTAACAATAGAAAAATTACAAATCGTGGTTGCCAAATGACAAATACAGGAAGTGTTTATGGGTTTTGGGAGACGATGTGAACATTCCAGGTGGGACAACATCTTGAACAAAGCCTTGCGAGCTAGACAATCAGAGGTTGAGTTGAGGTCTGTAAAGAGACCAGTTTGGCGGGGATGCTGTGTGTCCTAGAGAGAAGCTTGCAAAGGTAGCTGGAGCCAGACTGTAGAAGATATTGATGGGAAGGTATCCACTGGGCAGTCAGAAGTCGTTCTAAAGGCCTTTTAGGAGACTGATGTGATGGAGTCCCTTTGTTCAACAAATTTTTCTTTACTACTGTATAAGTTTGCAAGGGCTGCTATAACAAAGCACTACAGACCAGGGGCTTAAGCAGCAGAAACTTATTGTCTCACAGTTCTGGAAGCTAGAAGCCTGAGATCCAAGTGTTGCAGGGTTGTTTCTTCCTGAGGCCTCTCTCCTTGGCTTACAGATGACTGTCTTCTCCCTGTGTCCTCACATGGTCTTCCCTCTGTTTGTGTCTGTGTCCTGATCTCCTCTTCTCATAAGGACAGCAGTCATATTGGATTAGGACCTACCCTAATGACCTCATTTTAACTTAATTCCTTCTTTATAGGCACTGTCTCCAAATACAGCCACATTCTGAGGTATTAGAGGTTAGGATTCAACAGATGAATGGGAGGAGTACAGAGGAAAGGATAGAATTCAGCCCATAATAGCTACATTTAAGGTACAGTGCTAGGCACTTGGCGTTATTCACATGAATGACACTTGGACCCTGCCATCTTGTATCTTAGAGGAGACAAGACATGTACCTACAAAATGATATGTTCCATCAGAAAGAACCTCTTGGAGCTACAGATAAAATGTTCAGTTTGTTTAGCAGAAGGAGCAGTTATTTCCAATGGTGAGAGAGAGAGCAGGGGGCCCCTGAGGGTGGCCTTGGTGATAGGAACAGTGTGATGATTTTCAGTGGGTGGTTGAAAGCTTGGGAGAGAGGTCAAAGCTTGAGTGACAGATTTAAGAGTTCCTGGTTTACACAAGCACTGAATCCGTGTGATTACATGAGAGCTCTGCAAGGGAGAAAGGATGTCGCAGAGAAGTGGTCCGAGAACAAAACTTTGCGCTGGAAGTGATGAGGAGTAGTTAGAGAGAAAGGCGAGGGGTTAGGAGAGTGGTTGGCCAGAGAAACTAAGCAGAGAAAGTAAGGCGAGGGTTTCAAGGAGAGGGATGTCGGGGAGAGGTCTCATCGTTGGCTTTGAGAGCGCAGTTTCATGAGGGCAGCTAGGGCCAGAGACGGAATACAGGGGCCACTGTGAGATTAGGTGGGCGGGCAGTGGAGGGAGTGAGCAAGGCCACTGTTGAATACATTTGGCCGTGAATGTGAGGAGAGGGTGGGAGGGCGCCAGCTGGAGAGCACCCCGTTGGGATGGGATGGGAGAGTGGCGGTAAAGACAGGAGTTTTTAGAAGAGTTTGGGCCATAATTGGGTGTGTCTCCAGGCCACAGGAAAGGGGCTGGGGAAGAGGGAGAGCAATGGGGGGTCCTGCAGAGAAATGGGAGTCCAGAGGTCAAGGTGCAGGAGAAGGAAGGGTTTTCAGGGGATGGCAGGGGGCCTCAGTTTACAGAGGAGGAACCAGCGAGGGATCCAGGTTTATGCAATTTGGGGGACCCCCCTGTAAGAAATAAGCGTGTGAAATCAGTCCTACAAGCCTGCCAGTGTTCCTTCCTTGCATGTGAGATACCCTGATGCTTGAACTGATTAGCTTCAAGGCAAATCCTCCACTAGCAGAAAAACAGCTCTGCGAGATTAATAAGGAGAGACAGTGGGAAGATAAAGAGGCAGGGCAGACTGATGTGAGGAGGGAAGTTAGGGCCACTCAAACCTCATGGCCTCGCTTTTCTCAGAGTTACACACAAATGTGTAGGGGTAAATACTTAACCACAGGTGATCTGGGGCGGGGGCGGTGAGTGCTCTGATTTGTAGCATTTGCCCATTTCTGGGGTGTAAATACTCCCACCCTGGCTGATTTCAGCTGGAGTTGAGAAGAGATGCACACAGTCAGCTCTCCAGGGCAGCAGCACATGGCAGATTCCCAGGCTGGGCTGGGAAGGAGCAAGGCTCGGAGAATCACCTCCCCATCCGAGAGGCTGAGGCGGGTGCCAGGCGCCAAAGGGACAGGCAAGAGGCGGGAAGCAGGCTGTTGAGGGCACAATGCCAAAGCCTCGGGCATTTGCTTCTGTTCATACAGATTCTGCAGGAGATTTTCCAGACTGAAATGACCATAGAATCCATCAAGAAGGCCATCAAGGACAAGTCTGCCTTCCTGAAGGTGGCTCAGACCAGACTGGACGAGCGGACGAGGAGACCTAATGTAGAGCTCTGCCGAGACATGGCTCAGTTACGGTGAGGAGGCGGGAGTGCGCCCTTTGCAGGAGGGGCCGGCTCCGGGCTCGGGACAACCCACCAGCCCCACTGAGGCTCTGAGCTCTTCATAAAAAGGCACTTTCTGCCAACACACCGGTAATATGGAGGAGCATGGTAATGCTCATCGCGTAGGTGCGTTGTGGGGCTAGTGGTTAATGGGCGTGGAGTTTCAGTTGGGGATGGTAACCACTCTTGAGACGGATGGTGTGATTGCGCAACATCGTGAGTGTACTGAATGCTGTGAACTGTACACTTAAAAATAGTTGAGATGGTAAATTTTGTGTTATGTATATTTTACCACGATTTTTTAAAAAAGGAAATGATATCAGCAAGTGTTAATAAACATTAAGCCTCATTGAGTGGGGCCAAGGTGGCCTTTGGGTTCCTCAGCACTTCCCTGGAGTCTTTGCAGTTTCCAGAGTACCCCTCTTACAGGCAGTAGAGCGCGCTGGCTTGCTGTGTATTTCTCAGGGCCGGGGGTGCACATCAGAAAAGGGACTTGTGGTACTGATTCCACTGATCCCGGTCTATTTGCTCTCACCCATTTGTTCTATTGGCCTCTTTGGGCAGTTAATATCTGCTCTCTCGTCAAGACCATCTTCGTGATCCCCTAAAACCCATGCTGATCTCATTTAGGCTCATTTCAGTTTGCTCTGTGCTCAGTGGAAATTGAAAACAGCTGGTCTTCATCAAGCACATCGCCCACATATACATGGCAGGAGGAATCCGCTGCCACAGTTTATCTACTAAACACTGGGTGTATTTTATTATTATTATTTAACTTTGAAGATTCCTTTTAGGATGAGCTTGTAAGGAACTGGCCAAGATTCCACCCCCCACCCGCTCTGGCTTCATTTCCAATTTCCCGATACCTGCCTCTGCCTTTCTGGATTTCATCACTGCTGTTCTTAGTCATGAAACGCTCTGCGCAGAAGGAAATTAAATTTATGGAAACTGGAGGAACAAAGGGCAGCACTTGAACTCCAAAGTCCTTTCTGGTGCAGTGGGGATGCCACGAGCCTTGTCTTCTCCCTGTCCTGTGATAGAATTCCCTTGTCATCATGAAGGATTTATCTGAGGGATAGACTGACTTCCAGCTCCACCGGAAAAGCCAGTGGTGGGTCGAGGCTGAGGATTTCCCGGAGGGAAAGAAAGGGTGATCTTTGTGAGGCCAAAAGTAATGAAAATGATAGTGATGGTGCTAATAATAATAATAGCTGCTCCCATTTACCGATCTTACTCTGTGCTGGGCACTGTCCTGAGCACTTCATACTACCTCATTCATTATCTGCATTTTACAAATGAGGAAACGGAGGCAGCAGTGGGGTGAGTGGCCTGGCCCAGCTGGCACCCGGAGGCGGGAAGGAGAGCCGCAGTTTGAACCCTTGCCTGTCCCACTGCAGAGCTCTATCCATCACACCCACTGTTTGCTTCAGCTTCTCCTGTCTTCCACGTTATGCTTTCTCCATCCCCCTGTCAGGTACCTGATCTCACCTGACCTTCTCAATGCCCATGTGGGATGCGTTAGCAAGGCAGGTGCTGCATCTTCATCTCTCTCTCAGAGGACAAACTGAGGGTCACAGAGGAGATGTTACTGCAAAACACCCTACAAGTATAGCATGCTTCTTGTCTGTGTTGGATGCTAAGAAGCATGCTTTAGAATAGAATTTATGCAAATACCCTTCATCTCTGTTCTTAGCTGCATTTCTCCTGGTAGAGGCCATTGGCAGCTAGGAGTTCACCCGAGCTACATGTTGCTCAAAATGGGTTCCATAGAAACCCTACTCATATACAGTCCATAATTTGGGATAAGCTGCTCTCTGCCCCAGAGGCTAGGCGGGCCCCCAGACAACCCGTCTGCAGTGTCTCTTTGCTGCACAAGAGCCTGGTAGTGAGAGCACGCCCATTTGGCCAGTTAGGATTAGGTCACGAATCGTGGCTTTATTCAAATATTATTAGGAGAAGCCGAGCTGAAGTTTCATTCTCTGAAAATTTCTGCAGAGTCATCGAAAGTAGAGATGGGGATAAATAAATTGTTCAGACTGCCATTAGACAAACACAGGGTTGCTTTTTAGAAGGGTTTTGAGTAGTGGTCTAATTTGACTTTGGAGTTCTCAAACAATGAGGCATTCACGGCTGCTTCTGAGAAGCTGAATGGTTTTTACTCTTCTCTCCCCCTTCACAGCTCAATAGAATTGGCTTTTCCTTTGCTTCCTGTTCACTCTGTGGTATGTCTATTTCCTCTGCTCCTTTAATTGACTTTAGGACAAAACCTGCTTTTGTTTCTGTAAAGATTTCTTGCTAAAATATCATTGCCAAAAATACGGTCCCGGAGTAACAACAGCGGAATGTAGGATTATTGCTGGGGGAGGGGATTATGTTCCTTCTTAACTGATCATTCTGAAAGCAACCCTGTGGCTATCGAGATTAAGAAAAAATTAAAGACCATAAACTCAGGGGCGTGAGGACTAAGAAAAATTGCTGTTTTCGTTTCAAGACTTTTATTTTCATTTAACATTTTCTAAACGGGTTCTTTGAAAAGTAATTCTAAACATTCTTGGCATCGTTGGTGGCAGGCCAGCCCAGGCTCTGCTGTACTTAAATAAGCTGGATACGTTTTTTAAAAACTACGGTAGCCTTATTTGTATTTGCATGCAAAATGTTTTTCAGTTCTGTAATTCCCCAAAAATGAATGGTTTCAGCAGAACAGCTCTCTGTGATCTGCCAAGAACAAGGAAGCCGAGAGTGAAATGTGGCCTTGAAAGATGATGAAAAATGTATTTCTAATGGCGAAAGTTGAGAGAAGTGTACGTCTCCTGGCTGTGTTCACACGGCAGCAGAAAAACAACTGGACATTAACCGCCTGCATTCTGTGTGTCTTGAATTCCCTTTTTTAGTTAAACATCGATATTCTAACACCTATGTATTTTCAAAAGTTCCCTCAGAGATCAATTTCCCACTAGACTAGTATTTGGCTGCAAGGAGTAAAGCCTCATCTGTCATCCTGCTCCATCTCCTACCTTGGGGTTCAGGGTTCCTTTTGAAGCCAGTGGACGCGGCCCAGGGAGGGCGGGAGACGAGAGGCAGGCCCCGCTCGGCTATAAACAAACCGCTGTCGTAAATCCCAACGCCAGCCAACGGCAGCAGCCTCTCCGAAGGTCTGTTTCTTTGCTCGTGATATTTTATACCCTGGGATCTTCAAAAGAGACTTTCTTTTTAATCCAACTTGATCTAAACAACAACAAAAATATGCTTTTAGATCAGATCTCAGATTTTGTGTTTACCAAGCCGATACCAAAAGAAACTTTGGCAGTAAAGTTTCAATGCCTTCCCTCCTCAATGAAAGTAAGAAAACAGTACAGGTTCTAAGATGAAAGGAGATGGTCTGGATATGTTTTCATGGCTTGTTGTTGTTTCTTCTTCTTTTTTATTTTTTGTGAGGAAGATTGGCCCTGAGCTAACATCTGTGCCAATCTTCCTCTATTTTGTATATGGGATGCTGCCACAGCATGGCTTGATGAGCAGTGCTAGGTTTGTGCCTGGGATCCAAACCTGTGAACCCTGGGCCGCCAAAGTGGAGTATGTGAACTTAACCACTATCACCAGGCTGGTCCCTTGTTGTTGCTTCTGTGAGCCTTTTTGGGGGCCCTTTGGGGTGCCCTCCCCTTCTCGGGCTGGCTGCAGGTGACTAGGAAGCCAAGCCTCCAGTCTCCCTCCAGTCTATGCTTCCTCTACATCAGCTGGGCTCTGGTTCCTGTTCTTGGAAGCCCCTGTGGACTTGGACCTCTGGGCAGCTCCCTGCCTCCCATGGCCACCTCCTTCACCTACGACGTGGAAGTTTGGTCTCGAGCAACAAGTAGTTTTTGCATGTCTGTCAACTATAGGAGGGGCTGTGGATGCAGCCGAGAGCAAGGCTGGCTCAGGTGGATGGTGCTTTTGCGAAGTTGATGGCCTGCAGGGCACATGTAGTCAACAGGCAATGACAAACACCCTGATGGCTGCAGAAGGGTTGGTGTTCTTGAAACACATGACATCGGGCAGCGGTTAAGGGAGGAACTTCTCAAAGAAGTGTCTGTCCGCCTGGGCTTTGAAGATGGCATGAGTTAGCAGGATGAAGAGCCCAGTAAGGGCCTTCTGGTTGAAGGGGTGGGAAGGGTAAAGGCCCTGAGGTGAGACACAGAGCAAGCGCATTGGAGAACACACCTGCAGAGCAGGAGGGAAGGCTGCAGCGGGCGTGATGAGGCTCTGTGGGAGATAGGAATAACAGGATTTTACGATCGATCGAAGGGTGTGGGGGCAGGAAGAAGAGAGCGGAGTCAAGATGATCAGAAGGTTTTTGGTTTCAGCATCTGCAAGGATGACATCACCATTGCTTTGAGATGGGACCTGCAGGCGGCCTGGGGTGCCAGTGATGCATCTGCTCTGTACCCCACTTGAGCCTGTGTCAGCCACAGACTAGCATATTCCCCAGTGAGCGTGTCCCCAAAAAGTGAGCATGGCGGAGCTGTCGGAGGGAGCTCCCAGACCATCATCAGCTGATTGCTCTGCTGTCCCGCGAGGTGTGATGTTCGCCCCGTTGTGGGGTTGGTCTCTAAAGGTCAAAGAGAGTTCAAGTCCCTCTAAACTCTGCTTCCTTTTTGAAAAGTATTTGTGTTCTTTCTGGCTTTAAGCGTAATATCTGTTTCTGATAGAAAACATCAGAAAATGAAATAAAAAATAAAACCCATCCTCAATTCTTCGTGCCATTGAGGGATAACCAATGTTAGCATTTTGTTGTATTTGCCACCAGGTACATTTACAAAATTGTCATCATGCTGTATATAGGATTTTAAATCCTGACTTTTTCAACCAACACTGTATTGTGAGTTTTTTTCCCTATGGGAAATACAAATTCTTTTCTAAAAAGCATTGCTTGCGTGGCATTCCATCACCTGGCTATGGCATCCATCCCCATTAGGCGTTACTGTTGTTTCCTCTTGTTCTCTCACAAATTACTCAATATAAATAACACTTTATACTTTTATATCAAACTTTTCACCTTGCTTATTTTTTTCCTAAAAGTTTGTTAAATTTCACAAGTAAGATAGGGATACATTCTGATTTTGAAGTGAATTCAAGTAATACAGATCTACATGGAGTACAAAATGCCAGTCCCCTTTCCTGCCCTCTCCTCCCCGCCCCCAACCCAAACAACAGCTGCTAATTTGGTGCATCTCCGTAAAAACAGTAACTATTTGTCCCTTAGGAAAACGAGAGTATGGAGGGTTTTGAGTAGAAAAATTATTGCTTTGGTGCCATCTTAGTATTCCCTGAGAGCCCACTTTGTGCTGGCACTATACTGACCCCTGTGGTAGGGTCGCCAGCTTTTGCAAGTTGAAACATTGGATGGACAGTTAAATTTGCATTTCAGATAAATAATGAATAATTGTTTAGTATAAGTATATCCCAAATATTGCATGGAACACTTACATTAAAAATACTTACGCTAAGTAAAATATTTATGCTGAACATTATTCAGCCTTAAAAAGGAAGGGAATGCTGACACATGCTACCACATAGATGAACCTTGAGGGCATTATACTGAGTGCAATAAGCCAGACACAAAAGGACAAATACTGCATGATTCCACTTACATGAGACACTTAGAGTCGTCAAATTCATAAAGACAGAAAGTAGAAGGTGGGGGGCCAGGGGCTGCGGGAAGGGGGGCTTGTTTAATGGGGACAGTGTCAGTTTTGCAAGATGAAAAGAGTTCTGTGGATGGTGGAGATGGTTGCACAACAATGCGAATGCAGGTGATGTCACTGAACTGGACCCTTAAAAATGGTTAAGATGGTGAATTCTGTGTTGTTGTGTATATTTTACCACAATTTTAAAAAGCACTTGTACTAAAAAAATTACACATTTATCAGAAATTCAAATTTAACTGGGCATCCTGTGTGTTATCTGGCAAGCCTGCACTTGGGGATTATAAACAGAAATGAGATGGTCTTCCCCAAAGGGGTCCGGGAGCTGAAGTCAACTTCCCGGGTCTCTGCTTCTGCCCTTTCCTCACAGAGAACTGAGGGCGTGGAGGCAGGAAATGGGACCCAGTTCCTTATTACGGCCCCTGAGGCTCCTTATTTCCTTCTTAGCTTCCTGGATAAGTGTGCGAGGCACATAAACCTATGTGGGCAGTGTGCCTGTAGGGAGGGCAGTTCCTCAGTGCCCTGGGCTCAGTGTCCTCGTCTGTAAAACAAGGAAGCTGGGCTTGATGACCTCACATTTGTTTTCCAGTTGACAAGTTCTGTGAAGCTATAAAATTGCCTTGGTATAATGACTGTAACACGGTCTGGATATTTTTCTAGGCTCACGAAACCCTTTTCTCTCTCTAGGGACAGCCCCATCCCTATTTGTTCACTGTCACTGTTCTCTTTATATTACCGTATACTTTAATTCATTTCATGCACCTCCAGTCCGCTGATAAATGAACCCCCAAATAAAGAAAACCTTAACTTTGAATCACTGGTTAAAATTTGATGAATTTGGAGTTGAGTTTTCAACCAACTGGAGGCAGGCAGGAAAGCAGCATAGTAATTAAAAGCAGCTGATGGGTAGTTCCATGCAAAACTGTAAGGAGAGTTACCTAAACTCCTTGTACCTCAGTTTCCTCATCTGTAAAATGGGGATAATCATCATCTCTACTTCATGGGGTTGTTATGAGTATTAAATTGTCTGATCATGTAAAGTGCTTAGGATGGCACAAGTACTAGTATGGCACCATGCACAAGTATTACTTCCTTTGCAACTTTGCAATATGAAGTAGTTTGACGGTCTTGTGACGTGCATGCTGCTGGGGGCTCCAGGTGCGCCCAGCGCAGCGGCCACACCTCCAATAGGAATTCAGTGACCACGCCCGCCCTCATTCAGCCAATAGCCTCGGGAGTGTGACCTCTGCTAACGTAACCGGTGCTTCTTCCCTCACGCAGCCTTGTTAACGAGGTGTACGAGGTGGACGACACCATCCAGACCCTGCAGCAGCGCCTGAGGGATGCGGAGGACACCCTGCAGTCGCTGGTCCACACCAAAGCCACCCTGGAGCATGAGCTGGCCGTCAAAGCGAATTCCCTGTACATCGACCAGGAAAAATGTATGAGCGTGCGCAAGAGCTTCCCCAACACCCTCCGGCTGGTGGGCTTCTGTTAGGGGCCCCGCCAGGAGCGATGTTGTTACTCCTCAGGAAAGGCCGAGCCAGAGCCGTGAGTGCTGATATAGCCACTATTAAAGGATTGTGTTGATAGAAATGTCCCGATCTCCTGTCTTGGAAAGCCTTTTGTTTGTGTCCAAGCCTTAATTCTCTACTATTTGCTAGGCTTCTAGGCTACTGGAAGAATTAAAGAAATATAATCAATCTAATAGGGAAGGTGAAAAAGATTGTTTGCGTTATGCTCTGTGTAGCGTGATTGGGCTGGACAGGAGAAACTGATCTCTGAGGCGGTGGGGCAGGAGTCACAGCAGGGTGTGCTTTGAGCTCTGCCTCAAAAGAAGCACAGAGAAGGAGAGAGGCCTCTGGTTCTGTGGCAGTTGCTGTGGTGTGAGCAAAAAGACAGGTGGACAAGTATAGAGCGTACTTGGAACAGTGGTAAGTAGACCAGCTTGACCGTGACTCCTAGGGGGGAATAGGAAGAAGTACAGTGAGTGAGATGCCTGGAGAATGGAGGGCCTTCAGCTCCAGGAGTGGGAGTCGGGGGAGCTGGTGGGCATCTCTGAGCAAGGACATGGGCTTATGGAAGCAATGGCTGAGCAATGAAAACTTGAATTGGACAGAGGGCGGTGGAAACAAAGAAAGGGGAAGTGCAAAACATAGAACAAGCCAGCAGGACTGGTAACTCCTCACCTGTGGGCGGAGTGCCGAGGGGTTCCCGCGAGTGGAGGCGCTGACCCCAGATGGGCTGAGAAATGGGACATTGCCTACATTCTAGGAGGGCCTAGGGTATCTCAGGGGTTATTTTTTTTAAATAACTTTTTCTTTATTACAAACAAAAAATATTTGCATGACACATAGTTTGGAAAATAGAGAAAATACACACATACAACTCATGGAAAGCACACATTACCATAACGCCCAGAAATAATCGCTGAGGTCTGTCAACATTTTACTGTGTATGCTTTCAATCCTTTTGCCGTGACTGTATGCATGTATGTCTATTTATATAAATAGATAATATGTAATGTTTATATTTATTTACCAATATTTAATGTGTTTATATTTGAATGCGTCATTAATATATTTGGGACCACACTGCTGGTTTGTAATCTCCCTTGTTCAGGTATTACAAATGGATTTCCATGTCATCAACTTTTTATCCACAATGCCCTTTTTTAAAACCTTCCCTTTCTATCTCTAAAAACAGTAAATATTGCTTGTGGAAATTTCAGAAAATCCAGACAGACAAAAGAAGAAAATAAAAATCTTCCATATTTCTAGACTAACCAGATATTTTGCTATATGTAGATTTCATTTCTCTATTTATGTATTTTCCTTTCAAAAGTAGAATTATTCTGAAAAAGTAGCCAGCACTCATAAAGCACTTACTATGTGTCAGATACCATTCTCAGTGCCTTGATCACCTCAACTCATTTATACTTTTTCCATTTGATAGTATGCACACTTTCCATGTCATTAAACATCTTTTCACAACTTCGCTTTTTTTAAGGCTTTTTTGATGAGGCAGATTGGCCCTGAGCTAACATCTGTTGCCAATCTGCCTCTTTTTTTTTTTTTCTCCCCAAAGCCCTAGTATATAGTTGTATATTCCAGTTGTAGGTCATTCTGGTTCTTCTATGTGGGATGCCACCACAGCATGGCTTGATGAGCGGTGTGAAGGTCAATGCCCAGGATCCAAACCAGCGAACCTCGGGCTGCTGAAGCGGAGCGTGTGAACTTAACCACTTGGCCACAGGGCCAGCCCCTCAAAATGTCATTTTAATGGCTTTGTATATTCCATTGTATTGAGGTTCTAGAATGTTCTATAGCCATTTCCCATTACTGGATATTTATATTGTGCCTTACTCTTCTCTGTCGTAAGCAATGTAGCTGTGATTTAATCTTGTTAGCTACATGTTTGCAAACGTCTTTAATATTTTACTTAAGATAAGTTCCTGGATATGGAATCGTTAGATCAGAACTTATGCACATTTTTAAAAGGGCATTTACAATGTGTTGTCAAATCGCCCACCTGAAAATTTGTTACTCTCACTCCCGCCAACAGCCTGTGAGAAGGCCTGTCTTTCTGCACCTCTGATTACCCTTTGTTATCTTTGTTTTACTCTTTAATAGCATAAAAATGTCTTCCTGCTTTAACATCTTGTTCTTTGGGAACTGGTGATGGGGAACGCTGTTCACTGGGCCCTTGGATTTCTTCCGTTAATTGCTTGTCCTTGTTATTTGCCTGTTTCCCTTGAGTGTTTACCTTTTTCTCATTTATTTTGGAGTTCCCTGTATATCAATCATATGATACTTCCGTCATTTGCACTGAACCCATATTCTTTATATGCCACTTGCCTTTTCATTTTGTTTATGGTTTTCAATGTACGGAGGGTGCAGCGTATAAATGTTTCCTTTATGATTTATGCCTTTGGAGTTACACCAGGAAAGCTCTTGCTCATCCCAAGATTATTTACTTATAATTTCTCCTAATTCCTTTAAAGATTTCTTAGCTCACATTTAACCATCTGTAATTTCATTCGATAGGATGTAGACAGCGTGCCGGCTTTGAATCCTTTCATCTAGAAGCTCTGAAAGGGAAGATGAGATCACTGGAGGGGAAGGTTTTCTCTCGCATTTCCCCCTGCTTGTGTGCGCCCCTCTACTATTAGCGCCTGCCTCCATATCCTTGCGTTCTCCTTGCTCTGCCCTAACCACTGTCCATTAACCCCAAACCCCATTTCTGCCTCTCTCTCTGTTCCTTAAAAGCTTTTTCAGACTTTGCTTAGTCAACTTCACAGAACATCTCAAAATGCTGGCAGAGCTGACATAAACATGAGAAGCTTGGGCTCGGGCTATTTTTGTGGTCTCAGTATATCATTTTAGAGATCAAATTGTAGCTTTTGTCATTCTCCCTTTGCTTCTAATGGAAACAAAGATATATAAGTGCCACTAAAGCACTCAGCAATTAGAGCAATCAACTGTCGATAGTCATCATTTTTAGACAAAGTAAGAATAAACATAAATTCCATGTCTCTTGATTGTTATAGGTTTTGGGGGAAATCTTACTGCCTTTTTCCATGAATTATAATTTTGTTATCTTTTTTGAGGAATGTGTGCTTGTGGAGTTCTTTTACTTAGACATATGTTCCCTGCATTACAACATTGTGATGGGAAGAAAAGGTAGTTAAGACATAGGAAGAGGCTAGTTTTCTTATTATTTTGGTAAACTGTGGGCAAGGCCAAATTCCACAAATACACATTTGGTTTCTAGTCTAAAATGTTGGAGCTACTTCACGAGGGCAAATACCTAATGCTGAAATCCACGAGCAGCCAAGACTCACAAAGAGTGGTCCTGTTTAAGAATCACAGGACTGCAAATAGCAACACGTGATCCGGCTTGACATATTCAGGGCCAAGCTATGTTTAATATGATGCGGCTTTAAGAAGAGCTGCTGGAATGTCAAAGGCTTCCACCTACCCAAGCGTCATTCAGATTTAGAAATGTGTGTAACTGCCCCTAAATAGCCGAGCCTCCTATAATTTTAGTAATTTCCATTTTTGTCTCTGGAGAGTGTTGTCATAAACACCTCAACTGGCACTTTCGGGTCCTGAGTTCATGCCGGAAATAGCTGAGGTGGGGTCTGGTTTTAGGTTATAATTTTTGTTTTGCAGTGAATACAGGAATGGATTCCTTCCCTTTGTGTGCAGGGTGGACCCAAAGCACATAGAGTGAGGTGGGGTTACTGCTCATCTTTGTGCCCCAGTCTTCCCTTTCCGTCTCCACTCTTCCAGCCCTGGCCCTTACACTGTTCCCATCAGCACTGAACTCACCACTGACACGACTGCGAAGACCAGGCTTCTATGCAGAGCACTCTGATGGTGTTTTCAGAACCCTGTATTCGTATTTGTGCATTCATGGGAAAAGGAGACAATACTTAAACTCTTCATCAGAGATGGAAAGTTTATGCCACCTTGAGGACCAGCTCTTGCCCTTGGTAGTGCTTATTTGCAGTGTTGAGAAGGATTCTGAGACCATGTCTGAGCTCAGACAGATAAGAATCTAGAGGTCCTATAGGGTAGTCTAATCTGCAGAGTCCAGGGTGGAGCAGTGGCAGCACAAATACTGTCATCCCTGCTCTCAACAATCTGAATTCTCCCTCAGCTCACATCTTTATCTTTTAACATCATTCCCTTTTGTGATCAATAGCCCATTCCCCGAAGACCTTGCTGTTTGCTGATTTTGCTGGGAGCTCATAGGAGACCCTTGCTGCTGCCAAATTTTTCTTTTTGGTGAGGACCTTCTAAAGAGCTCACCATGACCCGAAAAGCAACTCTGGGGGCTTCATGGGAGAGTAAGGAGGGAGCCCCTTGGGGGCAGTAGCCGTTCACTGCTATTCTAAGTGGTATCCTATTGTGTATGGGAACCATAAGAATTACTTTACTTCTCAATGGCTTTCTTTTCTCCCTGGAAAGTCAAGTGATTTCACTGGACTAAGTTTCAAAGTTCTCGTCTGGGGTGTTTGAGCCGTTCAGTCACTCAGACATAGGACACTTTCCCTACCTCCCTCAAATAGTGCTTTGCTTGCCCGAGAACCTGCTCTTTATGGAAACCTATGTATTTACTGATAACAAAAATCTATATGTGTGTTGAGGGATATCCATTGACTTATTTATGACAAGCTGGTGGGTTTCACCTCCCAACCTTAGCCCACTCAGTGTGTGTAGCAAAGACAGAAGCTCTTTAAGAGAGATGAGGCCAAGCAACCAGAGAGGAAAATTATAAGCCAGAGCCACAGACATGACCCCAGAGGCACCCCTAACCCCCACCGCTGCACCACAGTCTGAAGATTGAGGCATTGACACTTTAAAACAGTGCTGTATGGAGCAACCGACTTTCCTAGTTTACAACAGTAGATGTAACAGACGTTTCTCAGGGTCTTGAGGGGAAGTAACTGTACCTCCAAGTATTCACGTCCTTGCAAAATTTCACCCTCCCCCTCTTGCATGTGGGCTGACTCTCTGATCACCAGAACCAACAGAATACATTGTAACACTGTGCCAATTCCAGCCTTAAGAAGGCCTGGCAGCTTCTGCTTTTGTGCTCTTAAAAGCTAGCTGCCATATAAGAAGTCTGACCGCCATGCTGTGAGGAAGCCCAAGCAGCTGTGTGGAGAGGCTCTTGTGGAAGAGAACCGAGGCCCCAGCCAACATCCACAGATAAGCTCTCAGGCCAAGAGTGCACTGACTGGCAGCCATGTGAGACACTAGAATCTTCCTGCTCTCCTAGTGCCTCAGCTGATGCCGTGTGAGACAGAACTGCCCATCAACCCATGGAATCATAAGAAATGATAAATTGTTGTCTGAAACTGCTAAGTTTTGGGATAATTTTTTATGCAACAATAGGCAACCAAAACAAGTTTTCAGTGGCTTGTCAGACATCGAATACCTGGAGAAGAAGGGAATCTAATGTTGGTTGAATGCTTACTGTGTTCCCATCGTATAACATGACAATCTCATGAGATAGTTAGAGTTGCTAGTCTGCAAATGGGGAGACGGAGACTCAGAGAGTTTAGGTGACCCCACAGCGGCTGAGCAACTAGCTGATTACTCAGATAGAACATGGGAGACAGAGTGAGTGTTCAGCCTCCTTAGCTGACACTAGGATCTGAGCTCCTAACCACTGTTTTGTCTCCAAGAGGCTATGCCAAGCAGTGGTTCTCCTTCTCAGCAACAATAACAAAAATGTGTAAAATGATTGCATCGATGGATTTAGAATTGAGCCCAGATGTATTTAAAAAATTTTTAATTTTGGAAAATTTGTGTAAAATTAGAGCATGAGTGGGATCTAACTTCGAGGTCATTGATCACATCTTAAGGGTGATGCATCTAATGATAATGTTAGTCAACCTTTGCTGAGCAGAGGAACTTTACATATGTTATGTCATCATCACAGCTATTCTCTAAGGTGCACACATTTCATTATTTACATTCAAAAAAGGAGGAAATTGAGACTTAGAGAAGTAAAATAATCCAAAGTCAAACCGCTAGTCAGTTGCACAGTCAGAGAGGTTTGCTTCCAGACTTTCATTGTTACTACCTTGCCTCTTTCTAAGCTGTTTAGAATGGATTGGCCATTCTCAAAAGTTACGTTTTCTTTTAAAGAAAATTATTTTAAAACCGTGTTAGTTTTCCCAACAGACATTCGTGAGGATACACTATTTTGAACAATCAATATCATCAACACAATAAATTAATTTTACCATAGTAACACGAAGTCCTAGCTCTAGA